GGCTTTAGCGCCGTCCATGGCGGCCTTGAGGGCCGCCACGTTGACAAGGTTCGCCAGGTCAGCGCCGGAGAATCCGGGGGTCCCGCGCGCAATTACCATCAAGTCCACGTCATCGGCTTTGAGGACCTGCGCAAGAGGTGAAAAAATGGGATTTTGTGTAATGGATGAATTTTGTCACTCGATGAATCAGAATATTTTATTTGGCAAAAAAAAGCATTTTTAGTCCTATTGGTTTAACACCATAGCAATTTTAGTCCAAAAGTTCCAACTTTTTGGCTTTTTGTCCTATGATATAATATTTTGCGGCAATTTCAATCCTCAAAGGACTCAAGACTGAAACTGCAACAAAATTTTAAAGAATAAGATTAAAATTACAACAAAATTTTAATTATATGACTTAAATTGCTAAAAAAAATCATAAATTTGGAAATTTGTTGCAATTTCAGTTCAGCAAAATATTAAATCACAGGACCAAAAGGAAAAATGTTAGAATTTTGGGAATAAAAAAAAAATGTTAGAATTTTGGGAATAAAAAAGCTATGGCATTAAACCAATACTAAAAATGCAATTTAGCCTATTTTTTACCTTGGACATATGGGATTCCAGAATCTGCCTCCTCCCCTCGACATCTGGATTTGGGACCACAATATGCCGATCGAACCGGCCGGGCCTGACCAAAGCCTTATCCAGCGACTCGGGGAAGTTGGTGGCAGCAATTACGATAATGCCCTCATTCTGTTTGAACCCATCAAGCTCGACCAGCAACTGGTTCAGGGTCATCTTCATGTACTGCTGATCCTTAGGGTTTCGGCTCCCACCAATGGCATCGATTTCGTCTATGAATATTATGCAAGGGGACCTCTTCTTGGCGGCGGCGAAGAGGTCCCGTACGCGGCGGGCCCCCACTCCAACAAACATCTCCTCGAATTCGCTGCCACTGCACGAGAAGAAAGGAACACCAGCCTCACCAGCTATGGCTCGAGCCAGCATGGTTTTACCCGTGCCGGGTGGGCCCACCAGGAGTACACCTTTCGGGAGCTTGCCACCAAGACGCGTAAAACGCTGTAAAATGAAAAAGGAAATGCTTAGTTGAAAATTTGTAGAGACATCTTATCAGTTACCACTAATCCCCCCTTTAACTCCACTAATTAGGAAAGCCAAGGCCCGATTATCAAGATGCGAATTGCAAAGTAGAAAGTAATATCAAGGGGTTACTCTGTAAATTAAATAACAAGTGATGGCCGAAAAGACTAGCTGAAATAACAAGTGAGGGATATATCAAATGTAGGAAAAAAATTCAATTTTGGTCCGTTTACTTGTCTAAAGTCACTAACTTTTTCCTTACAAAAAAATAGTGCATTATGTTGCAATTGTTATCATTTTTGTGACATTACTCATAAAAAAAAAGTACATTATGTTGCAATTTGTATTATTTTTGGGACATTACTCATAAGAGATAGTATAGTACGTTATGTTGCAATTTGTATCATATTAGGGACATTAATCCAAAAAAATAACGTACCACTTTAGGGATTAATGTCTCAATAATGATACAAATTGCAACATAGTGAACTATTATTGATGAGGGGAAAATTAGTGTATGAAAAAAAGACTTTAGACAAGTAAACAGACCAAAATTGAATTTTTTGCCATCAAATGTAATACTAAATTTTCTATCTTTATGAAGATGTGTGATGCAGAGTTTACCTTAGGATCACGAAGGTAGTGAACAATTTCTTCCAGCTCAGATTTCGCCTCATCAACTCCTTTCACATCACTAAACTTCGTATTAGATTCCATACTGGGTTGCACCTCTTCATGCAAGCCGAGTCCTAGAAAACCAATCATCAAACAATAAAAGTATGAATATGTCCACACTGAAAAAAAAAGGATATAAAAAGGAAAAAAAAAAACAATAAATGTGCCATGTAGAGATACACGATTACCTTTACCGATCCCTCTATCCTCGATCAGTGCCCCAACACCAGAAATCAGGAGGAAGGCCAAACCCAAAGCACGGACAGTTCTCCACAACTGCTCCTTGAAATTTCCACCTTCAGCAGTCACCATGTGTATAGGAGCGCCAGCTGTACCAAGGATTCCATCTTTTGAAGACTTCCCAACATTTTTAAGAGCCGAAAGAGCTCTATAACTTTCTTCTTCCACATGTGAGCTAGCAGCTCCAAGCATCCCTGTAAAAGTCCAATGTCAAAAACAACTTATATTATATCAACTTGGATATCAATTTTAAAAAAGGCTGAAATATATTACGCACTCACCTTTGTGCAATGTCTTAAGCAGCTCACTCTCATCAAGTCGGTCGACCTTAACTAAGGCCTTCACATACTCAGCAAGGGCTGATGGGTTAGAATGTAAAGAAGGTTGACTCTCAAACAACCTTATGACTGCTTCTGGATCATTTCTATGATAAAGCTCCTTTAAATATGCAGCATCACTTGATCCCTCATTATTGCGCACTCTACGGGCTAGACTGCCAAAATAACTTGGTTTTCCAGTCGAGCTTGTGCCGAAAGCACTTGTAAGCTTTTGCACTAAAAAAGGAAAACGAAAAATTGGGGATCATGGTGGCGCTATATCATAATATTTTGAAGTAAAAGTGATGTTTTAGAAAAATGGACATGTTTTTTTTTTTTTAATTTTTTTTAAAAAAAGGAAAAACAGTATGCTTTAACATGCAGATAAGCCAAAGATAAAGATATATCCTATATTCAAAAGCTGAAGCATTCATCAGTGAATAAATAGTAGAATTGCACAAATAATTTACTGCCTACAATTGCTTTTTTAAGCATACATAATCAAGCCATGATTTCTACATTGCACTGGAGAGGATTCTCAATGTCCAAGGCAAATGTGAAAGGACAGGAAGGTAGAACTGTAGAAATTCCCATGAAGATCGATTTCTGTATGTTAGACAGCTATATTGTGATATAGCTTTGATACGGTCTTTAACCTTTGATTTGGAGCCAGATTAACTAATATGAATAACACAAAGCTAATAATCTTAATATGACACCAATAAAAACAAAAGGGAAACTTTCAATAAAAACTTCAAAGATTACTGCAAGGAAGTATATCAAATTAGTTAAAACAGATTTATCAAATACTTCACGCCAGACGTCCTTAATACTCTGTATGATTTGAAAGGGGAATGCAGCAGATTCAACCCATCCATAATAGTGGAAAATGTGCCACAATAACCGTTCAAATAAATAAAACAAAAAATGGTTGCGCTCGAGAGAGTTAGCATACCAGCTCCTTTAGCATGTGGTGAAGCTCGATTACTTCCAGCTGCCAGATAGCTTAACAGCCTCATCTGTGACCCATGAGGTTTGACCTAAAATTATAAGCACAACAACAATCAACTTAAAGCTAGCCGTATCTTGAATTCAAGATCATTACAGTCAGATGGCATTACGCAAATCATGAATGAAAAAATAAACCAATAAACTTCGGAAGGGGGCTAATACAGATTCATAAAAATGCAATATTTCAACCATAACCTAATAAATCAGATCTTTGCTGATTAAATACTTACAAAAGATCCAAACTTTCAGCATAATTTAATCAAAATTCTTATTACTCCACAAAACCCACAGAGAATCAATACTATCTGCTTCAAAAACCAATTAAAAAGGAAATCCAAGATTAGGGCTTTCGATAGTGTAGACATTCGAAGTTAACAAATTATACTAATATAAAATCCCAGACAAACATTTCAAATCCTAAGACGAACAAACCGCATTTAAATCGAAGATTTGGCGACTAACCTCGCTGAGCAGACGCCTCAAAGCCATCTCTTTCCCACGAGAGACCAAAATACAGATAAATTTTTATTTAGATGAAAAATCCCTGTCAATAAACTTACTTTGTTCTCTCTCTAAAAACTAATTTATATCAATTTCTGAAATCTAGGGATTTTTCTGAGTGCAGGAGAAGAAAAAGGTAAATGGAAATGAGCGTTCCTGAGGAGAGACGAACAGTACTAATTTTTCTCTCTTCATATATCATAGTTATTAATTAATTAATCTAATTAAATAAATGTAACAAATATAAATTTAATTTAAAATAATTAATCTATTAAATTAAATATATCAAGAATTATTTATTGAAATGAAATAGTTTGGCTCTAAATTGATGACCGTGTGTTATTGTCAACCAGTTGATGACTAGGGAAGATATCAATGTGGCATTAACAAATAGGGCTAACCTATGCATATTATTCAGCCTTGTTTGAGTTGTAATTTAAATTTTTTTTAAAAAAAAAATGTGATGTTTGGCTTGATTTGGTTATAATACTAATCAAAATGAGTTTCAGTTAATCTTTTATCTGATCGAACTCAAAATAAGTTAAGATAACAAATTTGAGTTCGATTTGTTTATCGACATTAACGAGTCGAGCTAATACTAAAATTGAAAAAAAATACATAAAAAAAAGTCTATGATAGATTGGACAATGCAATTTCTAAAGCCCATCATTAATCAAGACTAAATCAGATTATCCATCATTTAACAATCAAGATTCATGCTACATTCATTGTTTATAATTCTTGTACAGTTGAATAGAGTGACAGTAACATATATATTCATTTTGAATAGAGTGACAGTAACATATATATTCATTTTGAATAGAGTGGCAGTAACATATATAATTATGTGGCTTATACTATTACCTTGAATAGAGTGACAGTAACATATATATTCATTTTGCATATCGAACAAATATTAAATGCTGATCATGACTTATACTGGTATTTTTATCCATGGAGGTGCAGAGCAGTTTGTTTACAGCAAGCTGCTGCATTTTAGTTTTTGTCTAGTGAGTGTGTGTAGGAGAAAAGAAAAGAGAAGGGACAAAAAGATAGAAAAAGTTAAAGGCTTTATTGAAGAAGGCTTTATATGGAGAGATCTGTAATAAAGATTGCATTTTTACATGTTATCTTGATAGTTTATGTAGTTAGAGTCAGAGGTTTTTACCAAAACAGACAGCCTTACAGAACAACATTTCATTTTCAGCCCCCTAAAAACTGGATGAACGGTAATTTTCTTGTTTTCGCAACACAAATCTCTCTTCGTATGTCTGTGTTGAGACCTACTGATTATTTTTATATTGATTTTTTTTTTGCTGCTGCTGCTTGGCATGTCCATTGGTGTGTGTGTGTGTGTGTGTGCTGATCCACTGGCTATGGCTTCAAAGACCCAAATGGTAATTCATTATTTCTCATAATTCTTTAGTTTATTTTCTCTGTTTTCAGTATTTACTCTGATATGTTGGAATAAAGTGTTTTATGAATTAAGTTGTAAAATCAACTTCTTGTCTCCACCCCTTTGTTTCCAGCTCATGATTATTATATTTTGAAGTAAAAGTTTCACTTGAAAACACTAATAATTGCAGATTTTCTAACATAATCTGTTTGTCTTTGCAAATCAAATCTTTTCACCTTGTTTTCTTCACAAAGAAATGCATTCTTGATTCTTGAATGATTCAATTCAGGGCCTATGTACTACAATGGAGTCTACCATTTGTTCTACCAATACAACCCATACTCTTCAGTATGGGGAAACATCTCGTGGGCCCACTCCATATCGTACGACCTCATCGACTGGATCCATCTCGACCAAGCCATCACGCCATCCGAGCCGTACGATATCAATGGCTGCTGGTCGGGCTCGGTCACCCTCTTACCAGGCCCCGACCGCAAAAAGCCCGCCATTCTCTACACGGGCGACAACTCGTTGGGCCAACAGGTCCAAAACCTCGCTATTCCCGTAAATTTATCCGACCCCTTTCTCGAAAAATGGATGAAATCGCCAAACAATCCCTTAATCATCCCCACAGGTGGCATCGACCCGAAATTCTTCCGGGACCCGACGACCGCATGGCGTGGCCCGGACAGCGACACGTGGCGTGTCGCGGTTGGAAGTCGGTTAGACGAACATAGAGGGGCGGCTATTTTGTACAGAAGTAAAGATTTTGTCGTGTGGGAAAGGACCAAAGTGCCCCTGCACTCGTCGAACAGGACGGGGATGTGGGAGTGTCCCGATTTTTACCCGGTTAGCGTTGGTGGGGAAAACGGGCTCGACTCGTCTGATGATGAAGAAGAGAGTGTTGTTAGGCACGTCTTGAAGGCGAGCTTTGGTGATCGTGATTATTACGTTATCGGGAGTTACGATTCGAAAAACGATTGGTTTCGTGTCGATGTTGATTTTATGGACGAGAGGGTTGAGTTGAGGTACCGATATGATTATGGCGTGTTTTACGCGTCCAAGTCGTTTTTCGATGGAGGTAAAAATCGGAGGGTGTTGTGGGGTTGGGTGACTGAAGCTGATAGTGAAGCTGATGATGTTAGTAAAGGATGGTCTGGTCTTCAGGTAATGTAACTTGCTTAAAAACAATGAAAAAAAGAATTGTTAATTAAACTTTATGTTCTTTTAGCAGTGTGGATTTGTAGAGGAATAGGTTGTTTAAGTGTATAATGTTAAGCAGAATAAAGTAAAAAATGCAATCAAAACTTGTTTGTGTTGCTTAAAGTCATTTTTCGTTCGCAGTCGATCCCAAGAACTGTTTTGCTTGATAAAAGCGGAAAGCAATTGATACAATGGCCAGTCCAAGAACTCGAAAAGCTTCGTGGTGAAAACGTTAGTTTGGCGAATAAAGAGATTAAAGCTGAAGAAATATTACATCTACCAGGAATAACAGCTTCACAGGCAAGTGTTTTTCTTCTGTTTTGACAAAAAACAAATAAATAAATGTCTCAAGTTTTTGGGGTATTATTATTAACAAAAGAACCCCAATATGTCATAGGCTGATGTAGAGGTTTCGTTTCGAATACCACATTTGAAAGGCATCGAGTTAATTGACGATCCACTAGTCGATCCTCAACTTTTATGTGTTCGGATGAATGCATCAGTTAACGGTGTTTTTGGGCCTTTTGGTTTGTTAGTATTGGCCTCAAAGGACTTGACAGAACAAACTGCCGTGTTTTTTCGGATATTTAAACTTAGAAGTAACGGTAAATATGTAGTGCTCATGTGCAGTGATCAGAGCAGGTATAAGTCTGTATACATCTCTAAATTCCTTTTATCTATGTATAAATGTATGTATATATTGTTGAATATCAATGATGTTATGTTGATGTTTTCCAAATCAGGTCTTCATTGAAAACACATGTCAAAGAAGCCTTCTTTGGGTCATATCTTGATGTGGATCCTAATCAAGAAATCTCATTAAGGACCCTGGTAATGTAATGCTGCTTGTGAATTCATTCAATTTTTTTTATTTTTTTTTTTCTGAATAATCATAAAATATATATATATGATATATTTATTTCTATTGAATTGTAAGTGAAGCCTGCAGTGTGCTTTCTTCTTGTGCAGGTTGACCATTCAATAATAGAGAGCTTTGGTGGAAAAGGGAAGAGTTGTATTACTGCTAGAGTTTATCCAAAGTTGGCCATTTTCAATAACTCTCATATTTATGCCTTTAACAAAGGCAAAGAGAGTGTTATTATTTCAAGTCTAAGTGCTTGGAGCATGAAGAAAGCTCATATTGCACAAGTTCATAGGAGAAGAAAGCTCTCAATCAGTTGAGATGAAAACATCATTGACCATTTACCAACTATTGTTGATGATAAGTAACTCAATATTGCTCGTTTTGGTGCTAGAGTGCTTCGGTTTGGTATTTCCTAACTCGATAGTGCTCGATTATGTTCGGTTACTCAATAAAGGTGCTTTGGTCACTATTTTAAACAAAACGCTTCGATTCAGTTCAGTTCGGTCAATTTTAGTTTTTTATTCTTTAAATAGTCATGGGATCAAAACGAGATGACGATTAGCTAAAACATGGTTTACCTTATGCCTCAAATTTAAGCATCCACTTTTGTTATTAGGAGCATGTCAATCAGTTACACACATCAACTCTTGCTTTAGAGAACCTTTCTCTATCAAGTCATGGAATTGATTCACCAATTGTACTTACTAGATCGGTTGATTATGATTTATTGGACAACTTTTTTCTTTATTCCTTTTTCAAGACACCCTTTCTTTTCTTAACTTGAAATCCCAATTTAGTAAACAAATTTTGTTATTAAGAGTGAGTTGAGTAAATACTATAGGCTAGCTTATAACTTAATTAATTAATTTATAAACTTTATGTATTCAAATAAGTTTGGTCTGGTAGGACGAATTTTTTCAAAAAGCTCGAACTAATCTTATAAACTTTTTTGGGTAGTTTTTCAAATAAACTCGTTGAAATTTTAATTTCAGCTGACTCATCAACTTAGTATATCTAACACTTTTATCATATAAGTTAGTTTTTCAGTCATAAACTCGAAATTCACTTATCAGCTATGAACTAGATTATAAGATATCAGTTAGGTTTACCAAATATAAGTGTTCAAATAACTTAATAGTAGTTGCAATGATACTATGTTGAGCTAATGATTGTTGACATATCAAGATGTGCCCACAAGCATCGGGTTAAAATCCATTGAAGTTTGAATATCATACTAGATGTCACGCTAACGGCGTGTCAACATATTGTGAACTTTTAATAATCATACCTATTGTGTATAATATATTAATCTCTTATCATTAAAAATATGTTTGATAGGTATAGCTGAAAAATTAACTGATAGCCCGTAGCTCATAATTTAGAAATTAATTTCAAGTTTATAATTGATATGTTATGATTGATGATGGCTGAAAATTAGTAGATATAATAAAAAAAGTTGATAAATGTACCAATGAATCAATTCAAATAAAAAACTCAATGAGCTAATAAACTTATGAAATAAGCTCGATTTTTTTTCTTTTAAAGACACACATCTTACATAATTGAATATATTTGAATAAAAAAAACTTATAAATTAATTAAATAAATTATAAGATAGTTAATGAGTACAGAAACAAACAAATTCATGTAATATTATCCTAGTCTATCAACTGAAATACTAGAATTAAATTACATGTTATTAAATTTATCAAAAGGTCAAAATATAGTTTTGCTAAAGAAAAAAAGTCAAAATAAGATAAAGATGCCATCTATAATCTGTAGCGACACAGAGTAACTAACGCTCTATTTAGCGCCGCTCCTTTACCCCTACACACAAACCTCTATTTAGATGCAATTTTTCAGATTATTAACAAACGACAAAAAAGCTAAAATTTCTGGAAATATTTTCA